CTTTTATCATGTTTTATCATGTTTTTACCTGTTCACATTTTCTCTAAACTAAAAAGTCCAAATGCCATCTAGAAATCACAAGTGTGAACCACCCTGTGCTCTTCATCCACATATAGCTAGCTTGTTTGTTTATACAGCCATTTCTATCCTACCTTTTCAGCTCTAAGCATGGCCTATGAGGCACCTTGCGAGTCATATGTTAGCAATATTAAAACAATCAATAAATCAAAATCCTAGAGGAGCAGCACAGGAAAAAAGCCTTCTACATCTCCATGCAACTACAAAATATCAGAAGTCAGAATCAAAAGATGCTCTGTCCCTACGCTATGGTCTTGCTCCTTGATGGACCAGGTTCTCCATCCCTTAATTAGAAAAAAAGTCAGCAGAGAGGTTAGTTGTTGTTTTATAATAGACATTCATTCATTCATTCATTCATTCATTTCCTGCCTTTCCCCCTGACTCAAAGTGGTTTAAAGCTAAAACAGAAACACCTAAAAACATAAGGGAAAAGGTGATAATTAAAAGAAAAAATAAACATTGATAAAATATTATTAATATCATTGATAGAATGTTAATGTTTAATATATCATAATGCAATACAATATATATGATCCGTTAAAAAAATTGAATAGACCAACAGAAAAAAATGAGTCACATGCCAAGATGAAGTGATATAATTACAGTGGTACCTCAGGTTACATACGCTTCAGGTTACATACACTTCAGGTTACAGACTCCGCTAATTCAGAAATAGTGCTTCAGGTTAAGAACTTTGCTTCAGGATAAGAACAGAAATCGTGCTCCGGTGGCGCGGCGGCGGCAGGAGACCCCATTAGCTAAAGTGGCGCTTCAGGTTAAGAACAGTTTCAGGTTAAGAACGGACCTCTGGAACGAATTAAGTACGTAACCAGAGGTACCACTGTATAAGAGAGCAGTAATGAAGAAAGGACGTAGATATGGAATGAAGTCCAGTTTCCCTGTTATATTCCACACATCCCATTGTGTTTGCCTAGATTGCAATCCAGAATGCTATGCATCCCTCATTCATTTCAATGGCAATATAAAAGTGCCCTGATTACCCATTTTTTTTAACATCTCACCAATTCAAATGTAAGCACCTCTCAAGCACATTCCTGCTTTTTAATGACTTACTTGCAGATTAAAAAACCTCTGGTACCAGTTGGTGGGTACATGTTTTTTAAACTGGGAAAAGCAGCCTAATTTATTTGTCATTGAATGGATGAAATTTCTGAAGAGCCTAACTCGGTAGCTAAGCTACCATAATTAAATCAGAGCAGTTGCAAAGTCTGCCTTCATTTGCATAGTTACAAAGGCAGATAACTTTTCTAGCGAAAGTTAGGGGTTGATGGTGTGGGCGAGCGTGCATCTCTTTCTGTAAGATCTTTAGCAAATTGGCTAAGGAAATGTTCGCATTGCCTGGAACGTCAGCTGCTAACAAAGAGCAATTTATAACCCAGCTATTCCCCCCCCTCCCCATCTCAAAAAGGAGTAGGACAGTGACAGCTTTTGTAGAAATACCTGCTCTATTGCCAACTGCAAGGCTACAGCAATTGATCTTGCAACCCATCTTCCATACTTGCAAGCTTATGTTTGTTACAGTGAAGTCTTAAAGATAGCTAAATTTATGCTCCCGAGGCAGCTTTGGGGACTCAAAGCTAAGTGAACATTGCTCCTGCGGGAAACGAACTGCATCTGAAAGTCCTAAAAGCTGTACTTTGCTGTCCCTTAAGTCTCGACACCAGTTCCCTTTCCATGCCAAGTTTCCAATCGCTCTCTTTGAACACACTTTCCAGTGTTTTTCTTTCAAAATGGGCTTTCTGGTGTATCGCCAAACTCTGGCATAAGTATGTCCCAAGTGTGTACTATAAGGTTACCAGATTTTTTCCAATGAATCCGGGGAAACTTTTCAACTTCAATGGATTTTGTATGGGGACTGATTTGTAAATCCGGGGACTGTCCTCGGGAAACGGGGACGTCTAGTAACCTTAGTATACTAGCCAATTCTAGCCAACAACTTCAGGCACCATTGAAACATGGGGAGTGTGCAAGACCCTCAAGTAGAGGCCCTCATTTGACCTGATCATGGTCTCATCAAAATTAGTGAGGCAAAAGTGGACATTCAAAGGCATTGGGACCATTGACTGCAATGGAATTTAGTTGTGAATGAGCTGCTGACCAATAGATGATTTCCAACCCATTCCAAGGTTGACTGATCACAATGGATTTGAATTATGAATGTTTTCCTGGTAGATCTGAACACAGCACCACTGAAAAATGTGGAACTGGATGTTTAGGTCCCATTGATTGCAATGACATTGAGTAGCAAGGAACATTCATTGGACTAAGCCTGAAGAATGCCATATTCTATTATTTTTTGTTTGGAATTTAATTTTTATTTTTGCCACAACCCCAGATTTTTTTTTCAGCTCCTGTGCTGCTGATTTGTTTGGGGGTGGCAGTGGAGCCTATATAATTTCTTGACCTCATCCATTTTATCGTCCTCTACAGGAGGAAGAGAAGTTAAGAGATTATCACTTCACTTCACGAAGCTATATAGTCAAAATCAGTCCTCTATTTCTGCATAAAAGCTTTAGTTTCCATCGAAAATATTTCAATGCGAGGGCAAATGACATTAAATTTCTTTAAAATATATTGACTGAAATACACTGAAAGAAGCTGAGGGAGGTATGCTGAATGCATGACCTCAATTTTTACTGTAATGGAAAGGAAGCAAAAGGGGATAGGATAAATATCTGTGTTTCCTTGAAAATTGTGCAGCTATTTGCAGCAGGTTAATCTCAGGGGAAATTTGTAATAAAAAAAATAATTCAAAAATTGTATTTTATACTTAATAGCTCTTTTGCTGCTATAAGGCTACTTGTTCCTGTACTTTCTAAATCATAAAAGTTTATACATAATTATATAGTGACATTTTAATATATATAAAGCTACAACTCACTGTTCCTCATTGGTTAAATAATTTCCCTTGGTTCTCGAAAGCCAGACAAATTCCTCTATCTACAGCAATTGCTGGACACCCTCTTCAATTCATTTTTTATCTTTTAAAAATATTTTTTAAATCTTTTGTCTTTTTTTGTTTCAAATGTTTAAATGTTGTCCTTTGTTATTATATTGCTTAATTTTCCTGTTGGCGTTTTAGAAACTGCTTTGTGATTTACTCATTTTTTAAAAAAATGAGAAACAGTATACAAATACTTGAATGGATTAAAATTAATAAATGGTTTAGGTGCAGGATAGCTTAAAGACTGTGTCCCAGGATACCTTAATTGCCATATCATTCTGGCTCATATGTTGGTAGATCCTAATAAAGCCATTGCCCGGTTCTGAATTTTAAAATGTTAGTGACTGAGTTGGGTTTGGATGGGTTTGTGGGTGGGAGGGTGAGAGAGGGCTGCTTAATTAACTGATAAGTTTGCCATCTTCTTTTATGGAAAGTGGCTCTATGAATTAACCGCTGAACAACAGGCAGTGCTTTGCTGGGACTGACTTATTCAGCTTCTAATCTCTATCTTGGAACTAAGTCCATAAATTAGAGGATCGCCCATACTTCTGCATGACTGGGGCTTAGAAAGCATGAGTCAAAGTAGTTTTTTCCACTTAGCCCACTTTCTAGGCACAGGTTCAAGCACTTTTGTCTTTGCTCTGCCACTGTCTCCTGGAAAACCTGCTTGCTAGCTCTAAATTGGAACAAACGGCAACCCCAATTGCTGTTTGTTCTGATTCAGTGCTATATGAGCCAGCTCCTAGGAGCCAAGCCCCCCCCCCCCGGCAATTATTTTTTTAGGGGTTGGGCCCTCTCAATGTTCAGAGAGCATTCAGCAATGCCCCCTTGCTCCTCACAATGCTGTGTCAGGAAGTTGCGTCGGGCCGCCTCAGTCAGCTTGAGAGGATGGCACCTCTGTTCAGTGTTAAAGATCGGGTTTCCCTTGGGGAAAGCAGTGGGGCAAACAAAAGGGTGGATAAGCCCTTAGTCTTGTGACTACAACATCCTGCCTGTGATTTTAACAACAACAAAAAGAATCCTCATCTTTTGCCAATCCCATGCTATCTGCAGGATGAGTGGAAGACTTCTGAACAACTCAAAGGCTTGCAACCATTTTTTGTGACATTTTAGTGGGTTCTTATTATTCAGGCATTTTCCACCTGTGGATTTTCTTAAGCCTCTTAAACTTAAATAATCCTAGAAAAAGTGGGGGATGTGGAATGTGGAAAATCAGTGTGGTGAATAGACAACGATACATGCCCGTTGTGTGGTGCTGCCACAGAGAATAATTTTTCAGCAGGCTTCATGTGGGGTAGTAACATTTGAATTAGCTCCACAAATGAGTCGATCAAGTAGATGGAAAACATGGCAGTGGAAGAATGGCAGGATTTTCTCTCATTAACATTTTGACTGGCCACCCACCACACAAACGGCTTTATACTTACTGCAGAAAATTTGAGATCTCTATCATTTGCCAGCAAGATAGCAAAAATGATTGCAAATAAATACATGAAATCCATGAACCCAGCAAGCCTTCCGCAGTTGGCAGGAGCTCATCGGCGCAGCCTTTGATTGTGAACAAGACAGAAATATTGCCAGGGTTTTGCTGTGTGTTGTTTACCCAGCATGCCTGTGCAGCCCTTTCACACTCAAAGGAAGGTGAATAATATTTAACAGAACATTTAATTTCAACTGAGTGGAAATGGTCTTGTCTCCATTACACCTGGTGCTCATGTGCATATAATTGTTTTTGGACTGGATGGTGCTGAATTATGGATATAGTAGGAAGGGTAATTATGCATATCGTCAGGGTAATGCCCAATGGGCAAGTACTTGGCGGAGGGGAAATGCTATCTTTCATTATGTATGGTAATAACAAGCCACAATGAAACAGCAAGGTAGAGAAGAATGTGCCAGCCCTTCACAAAAGCATCCCTTGCTTCTTTGTGAACTGTACAAAATTTTCAGGGGAAGGGCTGTAGCTCAGTGGTAAAGCATTTGCCTTGGGTGCAAAGGGTCCCAGGTTCAATCCCTGACATCTCCAGGCAGGGCTGAAGTAGATCCTGGAGATCTACTGCTAATATTGATGAGTCTTGAGTGCAGCTTCTTATGTTCCTATGTAAAATATCGAGGTGCCAGGACAGGATCTGCTAATGACCTGCCATGGATTCAGGGTGGGAATGTGTCCTTCTCTGCAGGGACAATTCTCTGTTTGAATGGATCCTCTGTTGGACAGTTGTCTGGACAAAGTGCAGTTAAAGATAAGTAGGGCCTTGAAGGGACCATTAGTGGTTAGTATCTGGAATGAATAAGCACACCAGTCACTAGGTGACTATCTTCTGCATCATGGTGAGATGTGCTATATTCTATTTACATTATAGTAATTATCTCTACATTTCCATCTTTTTGTACAAATAAGCAGACTGTATCCTCTATTTTTGGTTGCATGTAACTGCCTACATGGAGTTTTGGGATGGATGGCACCTGTGCACTTCACAGCAAACTGACAACCTTGGAGTAGCTCAAAGACTGGCTAGATGCTGGTAGGGTTAGGTAACTGCTTCCTTCACCCTACGAACACCCAGTTCTTTTCAGGGCTAAAGATATGCATGAAAACCTATGACTCAGCTACACAGCTGCAAATAAAACATTTTAAATGTGTTGTCAAGTGCAATATACAAACGTGGCACTAGATGGTGACAGTGAGCTATGCAAAATTCAATGTGTTTTTCAAAACTTTTTTTTTTTTTAAGCATTTTCACAGTGTTTTTTATGTGTGTAGATTCCACCCTGGAAATAATGGGATGCCTCCAGAAAGTAGAAGGAACATTATGTGCCAGAGCCATCTAGTCTTTTTTCCCTCAGAGACTGGGTTCTGGCTACTACTGCTTCTGTCCATTCGAGCCAATGGGAGAGAGGAGGTGTACTCATCAAATAGCTTAATGCCAATACTAAGGATGATATCCCACAAGAGATAATGGCAGGCTCTGGACCCTGGCTTGGGTGGAAGGCAGAAAATGAGATGGTTGTGTGTTGCCAAAGGAAACCAGATAAGGGCTCAGTTCTGCTACCCCTCATACAACCGACTACATAAAAACAGTCTTGTGACTTCGTGTGTATAGATGGCTCTACACTGTTTCCTATTTGCAAGACCTGGAGTTTCATTTTCCAAGCAGTCACAATCTTGGGAATGCTGTTTCATAAAAAGGGTTTGTCCACCCGATTACCACTGAACTGTGAGCCCACAGACTCCTACAGGTGATCATTTAGGGACCAGCGAAGGACGGACCAGGCCAAACCATTAACTGGGCCAACTAATGAATGGCAAGAGAAAGATGCAATTTTCCACTGAAAATGTAAACAACTTTGAGCCCTAAAATCACTCACTCTTCTAGAAGTTGTGGACACGTTAAAGATTAATTCTTGCTTAACCGTGAATCCTTTAAAATAATCTGCCTGACAGAACAGTAAATTATCATCTCGGCCGTCTTACCAATCAGTAGACTGTGAAACTATAAACAGTTTTCATTCACTTGAAAAAAAGAAAATCTGTGATAACTGTGGCTCTGGAACACTGATTGAAAATAAATGAATGCTGCACTCCAAAAACACTTGTAGATTTAAAGAGATCACAGATTAACATGTTGTTGGCATCTTTCATGCTGTAATGTTACTTGAGACAATGGATTAAAGGAAGGAAGAATTCATTAGAATGTGGTAATGAATAATTGTGCTGAAAAGAAGGATAATATCATCACCACCACCATTATAATTATTTTCCAGAAGGCTAGTGTGTTGGAGCAAACACTTTAGAACTTTAAATATTATATATCCATAAGTTTTAGTGGAATGATGGTGATTTGCTATCCTCCTGCAACTGTTATCCGATGGTCTCTGATTGTACTTTTTAATGTGTTTTTAAAATTATACATAGATATTATTGTGAACTGCTTTGATATTTTTGTATATTTTATGTGTTATATGTTCTATATATATTAAAATGAAAATAGAGGCAGAGCTCCACCACTGCACCTGAACCACACCAATCTCCCCGCTGCCTTCTCCTCTCCATCCTGGTAAACCCATGTTAGGAAGGCAGCATTGCAGTTCCACCCTACACACAGGGTTCTGTATGAAAATTAGAACCTGTAAGCTGCCTTGAGGTGGGGTGTGTATAAACCAGGCATCCCCAGACTCGGCCTTCCAGATGCTTTGGGACTACAACTCCCATCATCCCTAGCTAAGAGGACCAGTGGTCAGGGATGATGGGAATTGTAGTCCCAAAACATATAGAGGGCCAAGTTTGGGGATGCCTGGTATAAACAAACAAGCCAATAAATGTATGTATGTATGTATGTATGTATGTATGTTTGTATGTATGTCTATACCAGGCTTCCTCAACCTCAGCCCTCCAGATGTTTTGAGACTACAATTCCCATCATCTCTTACCACTGGTCCTGCTAGCTAGGGATCATGGGAGTTGTAGGCCAAAAACATCTGGAGGGCCGAGGTTGAGGAAGTCTGGTCTATACACTGATTTCACTTACTTGAGAGACCAGGCCAGGTGATTTAGAAATCAAAAATATGGAGACAAATTTGGTTGAGAAGTTCAAAAGCATCCCAAGTGATCTTAGCAATTTTCAGTGGCAACTCTGGTATCACATGAAACTAAAGCTGACTTGGTTCAAAAATTCATCATGACCAGAATGGTAACAACAACAACAACATTTCTCTAGTCGTATACGATTGATTGCGCTGGAGTTACGGTATATATAGTCAATAATGTCGAAGAGCCATTAAAGCTGCATATCTATACCCACTTAAAAAGGGAGGAAACATCACCAAGTAGACATGCATTGGGTTGCATTGTAAATCTGCGAAATCCTAAACATCTCTACTCAAAAGTAAGTCACATTGAATTCAATGGAGCATAAGATTGCAGCCTAAGGTATTAAAAATTATTACAAAGATATGAAAAGTGTGACGTGAATCTAATGCAAAAGTTTAACATCGTAGAATGTTTACCATGCATTTGATAAAAAACTTTTAATTTACAGATGGCTATCCTCAAGAAGAAATGATTTATAGATGGAGAAAAAACTCAGTAGAAGCTGCAGACCAGAAATCCTGGAGACTCTATCAGTTTGACTTCATGGGTCTCAGAAATACCTCTGATATTGTGCAAACATCTGCAGGTAGGTACAATGCAATAACAATGAACTTTCTGGTCTAAAGGTTTAGGAGTTCAGTACAGCCCTTTCCTACATCAATAAATGTGAAACGTGGGTCAGTATAACCAGCACAGTATTGAAAAGTGGGCAGCCATTGCCTTTAGTAGTCCACATATTGTTGGACTCAAACTTTCATCATCCATGACCATTGGCCATGACTTCCAGGGCTGATAAGAGTTAGAGTCCAACAGGGTCATAGGTTCCCTTGCCATGGAATAAGAGAAAATACTTCCCCGGGAAACAATTAACTTACTGAGTTTACTGCTACAAGCTATGGTGATGGCCCTTAGTGCATATTTTTTTTTAAGAGTTGGGTAAATTAATGGGAGATCAACCTATCAGCTGCTGTCAAACTTGGAAGCTCAATGAATGAAGCTCCATTTACGGAGATAGTATGCCTTCAACAACCAGATGCTAGGCATGGCAACCATCTTTGTGTCCTAAGTGTATGCTTCCAGAGACATCTGGCTGGTTTCTGCTGGAACAGAATCCTGGATTCAATGGACATTGGTCAGACCCAGCAGGACCGTTCGAATGTTTCTATGTTGTCAGCTTGACAACCGTGGCCATCTGTCACATTGAAGGAGAGAGTTAGGATTCTCATACACAGTCTGTTGCTGTACAGAAACATTTCCCTGCTGAAAGTGTCATGCCCAGTTGAATAGCCCAGTCTAATGAGATCTCCTAGCACTAGTCATTGGAACCCAGACACCTGTGGACCGCATCACAATAGGGTCATAGCACCTGCATCAAGATCCAATCCCAGCTCAATAGTTGGCGTACCAATAGACCTTTGCTGACATATCTAACAACATGCTTTCATGTTCTTATGATGCTTGCCCTCTATGTGCTGTGTGTGAGCTGCTTAAGGACGCCTTTATGAGCTTGGCCAGGATAGGGCAAAACTGAGCCATGTGGTGAGCTGTGGACAAGATGTGTTTAGGGGTTGTTTAGCTATGATCAGGCTCAAAAGGGATTTCCCAGCAGAGCTGGGAATATCACAAATGAACAAAGGAATTCCCAAGGCATTAATGCAAACAACAAATGCTTCAACTGCAGGTCTTTTTTCAGAGCATATGCATACAATGCTTTAATATGAAATTTATTATATATGGCAGAGCTTGTATATGAAATTGAAGTGTGGTGGGCTTCACTGCTGCACCCTCCCAGCTTGGCCCCTTACCACGCCTTACTTTAAGAGGGGCAGTATGATGCACCATCAGCAAAAAAGAAAGAAAAAAGAAGTCTAATGCTGATGTTGGCTCTGTCCATTTAAATGTTCTCACAATCCCTCTGGACCCTCGATGTAATGTCACCCGGGAGTGAAGAAATTAAAATAGCATATGCCAGGCACATCATTGAGAAGAGGACAGGTCCTGTGTGACTGTAGTGATATTTCGGATTAGCAGCAGGTTGATCAGTGGGTCCTCCTGAGAATTCGGTGGCAGCAGCAGCACCCACCTTTTCTTGGTAACCCGAAGCAACTCTGGCATTGGGGAAGCCTGCTAAGTATCCCAGCCTCATCCCACCCTGCCCCACTGACTGCTACTGAGCCTAAGCCGATGGGTAACAAAAAGTACCTTGCGAATAACTCCTAGGACTTAAACCTAATGTTGTGTAATGAAATATCTGCTGCACTTGGTAGACTGAAAATCTCATTCAAGCTAAGCACCATCTAAAAGTTATAAATGACTCTGAAGTATGTTAGATGGATCAATATGTCACGGCAAGTCCTACAGCCATGCATTGTCAGTAACAGTCTGCTAATTTAATATGAAGTGATGGATTCTTCAAAGATGAAATTAAACAGATC